ATGCAATTTTCCTCTGTGTGTGTGTGAGAGAGAGAGAGAGAGAGAGAGAGACAGGCAATGTGAGTGCTTGTGTATAAGTGTTTGTCATTGAACGTACTTGAAAATTGAGGATGAGCGGCTGCAATAATGCCACCCCCCTAGAGCCAGAGGCACACAGGGAAAGGGCCAGGAGACCCTGACTGTTCACGGCACCTAAGAGACCTGGCCACACGGCACGATGACAACCATGCATCCACCCCAGCCAAGAGAAGAGGGAGGTCCCGGACCAAGCTCCAACAGCTCGGATGGGGGTGTCAGACCAGAGGCACCGGACTGTCAACCCTGCTGGAGGCCGGCCACCCCAGCATGAGCCTCAGACGGAGCCACAGTCCCCGAGATGTTCGAGAACCACCCAAAACCCAGCTGTGCTCCACCATATGATAAAGAGGCTGTCAAGCTACCCCAGACCACATCTCCAAGGGAGCAGACCAACCACGCCAAAACGTCCAGTCAGGTACCCCGGAGTCACCAAGCGCTCAAATCCCGAGGGAGTGGGTAGGTCTGTGGCAACCAGTGAGGAGCAGCAGGAAGGGGAATCCCCCACCCCTAATAACAATGTCCCTGAGGATCAAGGCCCATGCCTAGCCACATGCACACACAGACCCACACACAGAAACTGCACAGACACACATATCCATCCACATCCATCCCACCACATTATACTTTTAATTACTCTTGTAACTACAATAAAGCCAGCAGCCTGAGAGCAAAGCAGTCTATTAGTGTGATATGGTATTATGAGGTCATTAAGATAAGATGGGGCCTGATTATTTAAGACCTTGTATGTGAGGAGCAGGATTTTGAATTCTGGATTGAACAGAAAGCCAAAACAGGAGAAATCTGCTCTCTCTTTCTAGTCCCTGTCAGTACTCTTGCTGCAGAAATTTGGATTAACTGAAGGTTTTTCAGGTAGTTTTTAGGACTTCCTGATAATAATGAATTACAGTAGCCCAGCCTAGAAGTAATAAATGCATGAACTAGTTTTTCAGCATCACTCTGAGACAGGATATTTCCAATTTTAGAGATATTGCATTCTACACGTTAAAGAAACATGTAGGAAAGCAGTCCTACGTGTTTCTTTAACGTGATCATTGGAGAACATATCCTAACCCCATCCAGAGAGTAAGCATCTGATTAGATACCATACATCTAAAAATTTGGGTTGAGTACAATAACCTCAGTTTGATCTGAATTTAGAAGCAGAAAATTAGAGGTCATCCAGGTCTTTATGTCTTTAAGACATTTAGATTAAGACAGACAGTTTTACAAATTGATGTGTGGTATCTGGCTTTTTGGATAGATAAAGCTGCATAGCAGTGAAAATGTACTCAGTGCTTTCTAATGATACTGCACAAGGGAAGCAAGCTGTAACAAATTATTATGTATTGAACAGCATTGAACGCTGTACTGAGGTCTAGCAGGACAGCACAGAGAGGAGTCCACTGTCAGAGGCCATAAGAAGATCATTTTTAACCTTCACTAAAGCTGTTTCTGTGCTGTGATGATCTCTGAAACCTGACTGAAACTCTTTTTTTAAAAATCCTGTCCTGTCTAGAAGCTTTTGCAATCAGAATTATGATCTGAATGCACTGTTGTGCCAAACACATTTTGCTTTTCCAAGGTCAGCTGTGTAAATGATCTATATCTATATCTTTTATAGTATGACAAATCCTAAGGCAGGACAGGCAGGAGAAAAAAAAAGGAAGGAGGGCAAACTAAGGATAGAGTACAAATAGAAATGCACAGTGGATCACCAACGAGAAAAACATATAGCATCTGGAACATGAAAATGCACAGATGTCTTGTGGTTTGTGAGAGAGAGACTGTACATTTCATGACAGAGACACAGATATTCTCTGTGGGGGCGACCGTGGCTCGGGGGGTTGGGAAGCGCATCTGTAACCGGAAG